AGTAAAATTACGATCACTCATGATCTCGCGATAGAGCTTTGGCTGAAAAAAAAATCCCGACATTTGAGAGTTCTAAAAATGAGGCTTAATGTTACTTAGAAATCCTGTCAGCTGCCCTGGGCGCGTCTGGGGCTCCCGCTGTGACCACCCCAGTGCGGCTGCTCCCCTGCCAGCCTGGGAAGTGGGAGAGGGGCCCCCACTGTAGCCCCCAGGCCTAGGGAGGGTGAAGAACCCCAGGAGGGGCAGAGGTGAGGCTGGGAGGGCTTTATTATGGCCTGGGAGCTGCAGGGGGCCTGAAGTGAGCGGGGGGCTGACGGGCTGGGGGGGGCTGTATTGCTGGTGGGTTCTGAGCAGATAGGGTGAGTGCTGGCAGGGTGAACTGAGGGCAGTGGGGTAGGGGTGCTGAACTGATGGGGCGGTGATAACGGGGGCTGGGGGACTGAATTGTGGGAGGTTGGACGGGGACAGAACTGATGGGGGCTGGGGAACAGGATTAATTGCTGGGCAGGAGACGGGCAGATGGGGGGTGAGAGCTCCTGCAGCAGGAGCCAAAATCCCCTTCTCCAGGACATGTGGGAGAGTGGGCAGCACTGATTGTCACATGCGCACACCCTGGGGAGGGGAGTTCAAACATCCAGAGACTGACCTAGAAACCACAATAGAATCCTTTTAAAGATGTCGTGATTGTTGGGCCAATCTCCTGAGATTTGATCCCTTGATGTCGGCAATACTGTATTAGTCATTGCATAGCCCTGGGGCCAGCAGTGTGGAGTTTGGAAAGTCCCCGATAGCCCAGCACAAGCCGAGCAGCCGTTCAGTAAGTGTGCGGTGTCCTCACCCCCCCCGCAGCTACACACATTCCTGGGGGGCCAGGGGGGTCTCTGTAAAAGCAGTTTCCCTAGTGCTCAGCTGGCTGATCGTTGGGGGGGGGGGCTCTGCAAGGAGACGGGGTGTGACGAGTCGCATCATGGGACAGGGGGACGTTGGATTCCCTGTAATCTGCTGGGAGCCTCCTATGATGCCAGGATCTCTAATCACATCTGTGGGGAGAGGTGGATGCAGGTGGGGAAAGATTCCAGGGCCTGACTGTCAGGCCCTTTTACACTGCTCTGTCAGAGCAAAGGGGCCTTAATGTGCCTGGAAACAGTCCCTAGAAAATAGCTCCGGTGCCAGGGAGCCCCCCCACCCCCTCCCCCACTCCGTGTGAAGTTGGCACAGGGGCTCCACAGCAACTAGGGGGATGCGGGGTCTAGGGCGGAAGTGACGGATTCGTCACTTCTGGGACTGACTGCGCCAGCCAATCACACTAGCCCAAGGGGCCCCCCCAAAGCGCAGGGCCCGGAGCGGTTGCCCCAAATCGCCCTCCCCAAGGGACGGCTCTGCTGGGGACATAGACAGGAGGCATCACACTCTGGCTGGTCTCTGCTTTGCAGCCCTGAGGCCCCTGTAACAAGGGGCCAGGGAGACTAAAGGAAGGACAAAGGTGGCTTAAACCCACCTCCCTCTAACCCCCCTTGTCTTTCCCCCAAGCACAAGGATGGAATCACTGAGACTCAGACGCTGGGTCTGGGGGCCTGGCTCAGCGGAGCTGATCCTTTCACTCTGTCCCTGAACTGGCTCTGTCAGGGGTGTGAATCTCCCCGGCCCATGGCTGAGATCTCAGCGCTGCTCCCCAGGCACAGCTGGGTAAATCCTGGAGGCAGGAGGTTGCCTGGTTCACTCCCCAGCTGGGGCAGGTTCTGTCACTGACACGATCAGACCCTGCCCCAGGGCTGAGCTCTGCCCTTCACGCTCTGATTCTCTCTCTGCAGCAAACGTGACCCTGGATCCAGACACGGCCAATCACCGACTCACCGTGTCTGCGGATCGGAGAAGTGTGAGATGGGGGGAGACAAAGAAGGATCTGCCCGAGAACCCTGAGAGATTTGACGCTGATTTCTGTGTGATGGGCTGTGAGGGATTCACTTTGGGTAGACATACCTGGGAGGTGGAGGTGGAGGGGTGGGGATTCTGTTTTGTGGGGGTGGCCCGAGAGTCTGTGAGCAGGAAGGGAGAGATCAGCTTTAACCCTGAGCAGGGGATCTGGGCTGTGTCGTGCAGTGAGGATCAGTACTGGGCTCTCACGTCCCCTGAGCAGCGCATCCCCTTGTCCCCGAGCCGGGCACCCCCCAGGATCCAGGTTCATCTGGACTATGAACGGGGGAAGGTGGCCTTTTTCGATGCTGGTACCGGGGACCCGATATTCACTTTCCCGCCGGCCTCTTTCGCCGGGGAGAGAATCCGCCCGTTCTTCTGTGTTATTGGTGTTAGTATGCGGCTCACCCTGTGTCCCTGAGGTGCCCTGTCTGTTCCCCTGAATCAGGCTCCTCTAGCCCCCACCCCCCTGATCTCTATGACCTGGAGGACTCAGCCAGTCTCCCTCCCCCCCCACCCACCGCACAGACAGTGCTGAGGTGGGGTGAAGCTCTGCCCGTATCTCTGGCTGTGGAGGTCTCTGTGAGGTGCTGTAGACTGGGTCTCTATGCTCCTAGGAGGACAACTCTGTGTGGAGTGGGGGGGGTCCCACCAAGGAAGGAGGGAGCCCCCCTATGGGAGAGGGACGCAGCCGAGGGCCAAGGAGAGACCCCTCAAATGGGGGAGAGCAGGGGGGATGCCTGGCTGAAGGGGCTGGGGGGGAGAGCTGGGGGGAGGCCTGGCTGAAGTGAATGGGGGAAGGGGGATCAGGGGGGAGGCCTGGGTGAAGGGGCTGGGGGGAGGGGTAGCAGGGGGGGGGCCTGGCTGAAGAGGCAGAGGTGGGGGGGGGACAGACCAGAGGGCAAACCAGGCGGCAGGCGGGGAGAGGTTCCCCGGGGAGCAGGGGCAGGGGGTGCAGGGG